GATGGATTTTTAAGAAATTATACTTTATTTTCAAAGCTAGAGCTTCAGATGTTGCAAAATTGATATCGCTTTATTGGATTTGAATAAAATGGAGTTTGTCTAATATTGCTTTTTGACCAACATTCAAATTTATATTTTAACTAGAAAGAAAAATTCCATGCGGGCGCCGGAAACCCCAGAATCGGCCCTGATAATGTATGTATGTAATACACACACACACACGCACACACACACACACACATATATATAATATATATATATATGTTAGATATGTATTTTTAAATTACTTTTAAATTAACCAGGCGACACTAGTCTAGTAGTATTTCATAAAAACTTATTTACCTGGAAAATAGAAAAGCACCAGCAATTATATAGCTGATAACCAAAAACACACATAACCAAATTGGGACAGGTCTGGCCCTTGGTATTTCTTGGCCCGTATATGATTCTTCGCCAGTTGAAAAATTCGGTTCTTCCATCGAGCGCTGCTGGCGATTTACTGCTAAACCCATTGGAGACATTATTCGAGGACTTGGACCTAAAACGGAATGAAATTTTTTGGAAAAAGGCATTTCCGTTGATTATTGAAAATTTATAATTATAATTAGTTTCATGATAGAGTAGTTAGAAATCCGGTTTGCTAATTTTATATTTTCTCGACGAGACAAGAATTGTTTAACACCAAACTGAATTTTCTGCTGTCTATTTTTGAACATGATTTTCTACAAAATAACTTTAAACATTTGAAGTATTTTTTTATTATTTACATATGTACTTTATAACTTGAATTAATTAAATATAGCTGTTTCATACTCTACCATGTTTTTCTCTTCGTCTACTTCTGCTTCGACTATTTTCTTCTTCATCATCGAAATAATTCATCGGACTTGGACATCGGGAGATCGCCTAAAATAATAAGGTGAGAACTTATGTTGCAATCTTTATAATTCATATAAAACAAAGTATATTTACCTTTTGTGGACTCTGTAAACGGGGTAGTGAGTGAAATCTCGAGTTTTTAGCTTGGTATCTCTTCGGAGCTAAGAAAAATATGCCAAAATAATATTAAATTATCAAATAATATATTAATGTCATGATTCATTAATTTGGTAAGAAATAAAATCAATTGACTACCGGATACAATCAATAAACTACCGGACGAACTAAAGACAAAGACAGACCTAAACAGTTTCAAAATTAAATTGAAAAATTACGTAAGAGACAAATGAAACAAATGAGTTAAAATCCCTATTTTAAATACTATACTACTTCTGATTTGTAAAATTACATTTAAGTATAAGTATGTATGTATGTACGCAAGCGTTCTGTGTGTGTATATATGTGTGTATAATAGTAATAAGTAAAAATATATGTCTTAATGTTTAAGTCTGTTACATAAAATTTAGATTTTATTTTTGTTATAATTGCTGTGATCTCTCATACCAGAACAATTGTCTGACTGAGATACAGTATGTATGAATTATACCAAAAAAATAATAATAAAAAAAAAAAAAAATGGATACAAGTAACAAGTGCTTTCGTCTTTGGCATTAAATTATTATATAAGTTAATAAATAAAATAAGGTTCGTAACATAACTAATTAAATAGTATAAATCAACATATATTCAAATTTAAGTTTTTAGTCAAATAAATATAATTAAATATATATTCAAGAACATTATCATATTATTTAAATAAAGGTACGGTTCTAACAAATGGCTACGTAGGTTAGTTCTGGTTGTATAACTAGAACTAACAACTTACGATGTTCTTGTGTGTAACTTTCGACCTTTTAACAGTAGAAAACATTCAATTCTCTTTTAGTTATTTACAAATGAATGAAGAGAAAATAAATAAATATAAATGTTTGCATAATTAAATTATAATTTTTGAGCACTCAGGATTATTCACCGTCATTCATGCCGTACATGTCATCGTTAATGGCATATTTGTTGCAGAGTACTGGTGTCCTATCTGCACCAACGGACATCGCACGCTGATGCCTCCATCCATCACCTTTGATGCTGCGCGTCTGCTGCCCCGCGCGTATCGTTGGATCTCCTCGCGGCGAACTACGACGGGATCGCGACCTCCTGTCTAACGAATATGCTCTTTGGCCTAATAAGGAATAAGTATATGTTAACATATTTTTGTTTGTTTTATTTTACATAGCAATTAAACTATACACTCAGTACATTCAGCTACTTTAACAGGTAAATTTGATTTGACAGCGTGTGAAAGGATCGCTATCCTGCGATAGCACCTTTCCAGATATGTGGTTTGATGTAGTAAATCATTACAGGTTCTTTTCTTAAGTTGCTTTGGTGGTAAAGGCTTGAGCAGGTCACACGCTACTTGGTTTGGATGTCGACTTAGCCGAGTCTTGTATCTGGAGCAGTAATGATTAATTTCTTCTTCCATAGTTAGAATTCTAAGGTCCTGATGTATTAGCCAGTTTGGAACATATTTTGGAGCGTTCACGATTTCTTCCAAAATTTTGTTCTGAAACCTCTGTAGAATAGTTATGTTTGATTTACTGGCCGCACCTCATAGTTGTAGACCGTATGACCATATTGGTTTAATAATTTTCTTGTATATTAGAAGCTTATTTTCTAATGAGACTTGTGCTTTCCAGGCCATTAACCAATTAAATTGCCTACGTGTTAGGTCGAGCTGCTGGCGCTTCTTAATGTCAACAAATTTGATATAATATTTTAGCAATGACTTACACTTTGTGAAAAATTAGGGCTAAAATTTGTGTGTACTGGTGATTCTTAGCGTGCTACTTAACAATAAGTACGAAAACCATCGCTTGGCGGGTTTAAGCCCTGCACATCAAGGTCGCCCAGACGTTTGAAAATGCAAAAAACCCAAAAAATTAAACTTGTTAATGTAAACTTCAAATTTTCATACGATTTAATTTATACATCGAAATGTTAAAAAATCAAATTTCCAGTCTATTCAACGAGATCGACCTGTGTAATTATCTACCAGGTGAGCTGAAAGGTTCACTGAAAGGCGAGATGTATATGCAATAAAATAAACTTAGACCTATAAGGTTAAAATTTATATATGTGTTTGTCTAAGCGATTTTGATAAGGTATGCACAATGCCAGGCGATTCTGTCCAGTCTAAGCCATTAGCAGATGAGGTAACAAAATGCTATGGAGAGAGCACAAATAATGTAATAGGCGTAATGTGAAAACTTATCTGATACATGTGAATTATAATAATAAAATTTAAAAATAAAATTATGGTCAATATTACTTTTTGATGTCAATAGCATTATGCTTGCTGAGATTGTTTAATTAGTGCAACTTAGTACAAGAAGAAGTGATCGCGGGTGTTAAATCAAGCACTCGAAAGAACTGAATAAATAAATTTAGTATATTTCTAATACTAACTATAATTTCTGCTTTGACGGTTGAAAGTATTTTCATATGGCTGGTATCTTGATGATCTGGGATTAGGTGATGTGGAAATACTTCCTTCGATGTCTTCGTTATATCTATAATTTGAACAATACTTAACAACTTTGCCTAAAATCCTTGTCTAGTGTTTTATTGACCTTTCAACTTACCTAAATTCAGCATCTGAATAGGAATGGGAAAGAGTTCCTTCGTAACCGAATCCGCTGTCTCCAGAGCGTTGGGAAGACTGCATAACGCCCCCTTGCCGCAACGAACCAGGTCTCGATCGATTTAATTGCCGACTAATAGCGTTATAAAATTATAACAATTTATATTATTAATATAAAAAACATAGTGAATCGTACCTTTCCAAATTAGCAGAAAATTGGTGATATTTCCCAAGATTTTATAAGGGTAAGTTATTGTAATCGTCAAAAAACTGAAATCGAAAATTTTTGCATATCTTCATGTTTTGAAAGTTTCTGAACATTTTGGCATACCTTAGAAAAAAATGGATGTGTGTGTATGTATGGATACAATTTCTGGTCCGCGTTTTCGGGCGCACGGATTAACTGCTTTAAATGGTTAAAAAAACATTTTATTTCTATATATATAGGGAGATGTGCTAATTAGTTTTTGACAAATGCAGGTTCAGCCGTTTTGGAGATTCGGAGAAATTGCCGATTAAATGTGCAAATAATGGCACTTTTTGAGAGAAAAAAGCATCCGATTTGAATGATTCAACAAACCTTCTGCTTGTGTTGAAACTATTGCTTTTCGAGAAAGAAATAAATAACTGTTATTAATTAAACTTAAAATTCAAAATTACCTTATACAAATATTGTGTATTAATGCAATATTTAAATCATGTGAATTATTCTACTATTTATCTGACTATTTATCAAAATTTATCAATTATTTATCTGATTATTAATCAAATATTTTTTATGAAATCACCTAAATTGTAATTATGTGAACTACTTTGAAAAGAATTTCAAAGCTTTTAATAGTTTCTTTACTTAAAAATAATAAATGCAAAATCTATATGAAATGTGCGTCTATTTTATTCAAACACAGAGCAGATAGATTTTTTTTCTTGGTATTTGCACATCTGCATGTATTATTATCATATTATTATTATATCAGAATTGTTATTTTCTAAATAATAATATCAAACTTTATTTAATAAAAGTAATAATAAACTTTAGAATGAAGGCTAGGATGTTATCCAAAACATATATAGATGTCGAAAAAGCTTATAACCAATTCATAAAATTTTTATTTTTGTAACCCTCGATTCTGAAACTCATATATATTAAATCGTCATCAAAGATCTTACATTAAAATGTATATAGATTTTATATTAATATATTAAAAAATCATTGTACCTTGACTGACGCATGGTACCCCCTCTTCGTTTTTTCTTCTTCGGTTTTCTTGTACAAACGTAACAGCAAACTCTCCAATAAACGAATCTATTTATTCAAATATTTCATTATTTTAGTTATAATCTATATGAATGAATGCAAAAATAACAAACCTGAACGAAGATGCCATGATATCACCAATATTGGACAAGCACAGCAGCATGAGCGGTATGCCAAGAATTGCATAAAATATGGTCGTCACTTTTCCCATTTGTGTCTTGGGGGCTATATGGCCATACCCTGAAATTTTAATTATATATGAAACATCTTAGATAAAAGCCCTTATTTTGCAAAATTATATTTTTTATATTTTTTAAAACATATTTTTTTATCGTTATTGGCCTCATAACTTATCTTTTAATTTTTTATATCCTGCATTACTCGACGTTCTATTTATTTTTCTAAATTAATATCTAAAATATATATTGATAATATATGAATAAATTGCTAAGGGTCTGCATAAAATTTTCCGGAAAATTTCCCAATTTATTCAATCCCGTATCGTCCACACGGTACTAATTATAAGTACAAAGGTGAATGTGTTAAGGTGAAGAGAACCAGATAAAAAATTTGATCATATTGATTTTTATACACATTATTTTAATTTCCATTTTTCATTTTATTCAACTTTTTTGGCACAGCAGAAATGCTGTCAATATAATCATACTAGTAATGATGTATAAAAACTAGTAATGCATGGCATCGTGCCTTAAGGCAAATTGCTCGAACTTCTCGTACCAGAATTAAATATGCGAGGGAAAAAATCTGTAATCAATAAATATTGATCAATGATTGATAACAATTGTTTTAAATATTTTTAAGTAGATAATTATATTCACTATATATTTTATCGTTCATGAAATATAAGGTGACGATCTTATTGCTCAAAACACTTGAGAAAGTTTACATTAGCAAGAGGTGCCAAATAAATTTATCTGAGGATATATTTTATAAGACTTGAATAAATCATTTACAATATATACTTACATTTTCAAACTGAATTGTAAATTTGAAATTCATATTTGAAGCAAAAAACTTTGTATATTTTTGAAAATTAAAAAAAAAAAAATTCTGAAAATTTTGAAATTTGCTTAAACCGTATAAGTAAACTTTAAAAATTAACAATCTTGGTACGGAATCCAACAAAATTGTGACAAAGTTAGTACTCATTTTTAAAAAATTGGATGGGCATATGTCAAATGATCATTTATGACAGCAAAAAATCATCTTTTTTACGCACGAAAAATTGTATCCAAGCATACATACATACATCCATTTTTTCTAAGGTATGGCAAAATGTTCAGAAACCTTCGAAACGTGAAGATATGCAAAAAATTTCATTTTCGATTTTCGGCCCATTACTATAACTTACACTATGGGAAGTTAAAAAGGGCCAGTAAGCACCAATATATACCTAGCTCATCAATTCAAGATATAGATATTACAACTATATTTACAATTCATGAAAATAAAAACATTTTTGCAATTATTGGCCTACTAAGGGTAGTTTAAAGATGTAAGTTCATCAAAATTTAAAATCATGGTCAGAGTCGAAGTTTCGAAGCTCTATCACCACTATTTGAAAAATTGCTTGATCACAATATTTATTGATTAAGTCGATTATATATACATGTCGAAACACTTTTGCAACTTGCCTTAAAGCAAGTGACACTTAAACCTACTTTAGATATAATTTTCTCAGATGATGCTCATGTTAGTATCATAACAATAGCACCATTTCAGCTGTAATTATAAAAATGAATGATTCTTGACTAATGAAATCCCTATGACAGTAGTAATTGAATATATCATAGTCTGCAAGTCAAGTTATTTAATTCTCTGTATTTTTACAATCACATAAAATGTCATACAGATCTGCATAGCATGAGTAAAAAATGGTCGTACTATTATATTTAGAAGGTCGTCGATCGAGCGATGACTTGAATATTTTGCGAACGGTTATAGAGGCCATCGACTAGGTCGCAATGACTTAGAATGATATCTGTTTATAATTTTTTTATCATAGAAATGATAATCATTAAATGCCAATAACCTAAATATATACTAGTTTAACAAAAATAGGATGTAAACGCTTCCTGTAGAATGAGTGAACAAAATCGCAAAAAACAAGAATAATTTTTGATACCTTTATGTTTCAAGACCTTAACACATATCTTATTAAACAAAATTATGTAAAGCCATTTGATAGAACTTTTCTGTAAAAAAAGGAATCGCGTTGTTTACTAATTAACTTTGTGAGACGATCGTCTGATCTGTTTTTTCAAATTTGGCAAAAAAGTGCAAAATTATTCGTCCACGCTTTCTTCAAAAATCTTGAACCGATTTTCAAAATTCAACATCTGTTCAAAATATATCAATTAAAAATTGTACTGAATTTTTAGTAAAAATGGGTCGGGCATTTTCTGTAATTAATTGTTGAAACATTTCTTCTACGGGAAGTTACTGCAATTTGCCTCAAGGCACGATGCCGTACACCACTAGTTAAAAATTAATTTTGTAAAGAGCACAGTAATATATTTACATAAGAGAAAGTAGTAATTATGAAATTCTCGAACAAAATATTTTAATTATTTTACTATAACAAAAATTTAAATAGAATTTTTTAATTTTGTTAACAAATTTGAAAAATCTATATCCGTTCCACCAAATTTAAGGATCCGTATATATCTAAGATTACCTACCCATAAAATGTATATATCAAGTTTTCATTAATTAAACATAATAATTGACAAACCTTTAAAATAGTTTTGAGAAACTTTAAAGTATTAAAAGCTTGTTTAAATTTTCAATAAAGATCTAAACACGAACTTTCGACAAATTATTTGTTCTTATTTGGTTTTATAATACTCAATAAGTTTAGATTTTAAATCATTAATAGAAATTTTGAATGCTCCAAAGTATTGTTATGGTTGAACCATAATGACGCTGGTATAAGAGCGATAAATGATGATATTCAAACTCATTCAGAAAAGAACAAAAAGATTACCCAAAGTTACTTGCCAGAGAACTACCAGGGCAAAAAATTAATCTCGCAAAATATCTGATAATGGCCAGGAGAATTTGCATTTTTCAAGCCGAATAATTTACTTGTTGTCCTTTTAGGATAAATGTAACATTTATGGTTTATTAATTTGATTTAATTAATATGATTTTGTTCATTGTTTTCATCGTTAGCTTAAGCTTAATTCAAGCATCAGAAACAATTGTCGTTTTGCATCATTGAAGTGTTTATTAACTCGAAATCGAAAATGAAAATTTTTGCATATCTTAACGTTTCAGAGGTTTTTGAACATTTTGGTATACCTTAGAAAAATTTGATGTATGTGTGTGTGTGTTTTGTGTGTCCGCAATTTTTAGTCGGATCAACAGATTTGAATGGTTAAAAAAACATTCGATTTCTATTAATATGGAGATGGGCTGATTAGTTTTTAGCAAAGGCAGATCCAGCCGTTACGGAGATACGGAGCAAAGAGTGCAGAAAATGGAAATCGATTTTTGGAAAACGGAGTATTTGATTTGAATGATCCAAAAAACGTTCAATTTGTAATAATTAGGAGAAGTAGTGATTTGTTTTTGGAAAAGGCAGTTCTAGACCTTTTGAAGATACGGAGCTAAATGTCCAAAAAATGGCAGTTTTTGAGAGAACTAAGCATCCGATTTGAAGCACCCTGCTTGTGTTGACGAAGAATTGCTTTTAGATTTTTTTTATTTTAATTTTTTTTTTCAAAAAAAAAACATTTTATTTGTATATCGAAAATAATTCAGATTTTAATTATAATTCTTGCTAAAACTCTAAACCTCAGTTATATACTTTAAATAAATAATTTTAACTTTGCAATTAAGTTTATAGAATTATTAGAAATATTAGACAATCTTTACTCGAACATTTCGTTACGGTACGGGAAGTTCCAGCAATTTGCCTTAAGGTACGATGCCATACACCACGAGTTGATTCTATTCACATGCGATTGTATCATTTTTTTTAGACCTCATTGAAACAAATGCATTGAAGGTCGCTTGTCATACAAGAAACGCTAATTTGGCCACAGTATTAATCAAACCCTAAGTCATTCACCAGAACCGAACACCAGACCGGATTTGCTAATTACGAGTCATTAGTCTCTTACAATGGGATTTATATAAATAACAATAGTCTCTTGTTGGTTTATGTTTATGTACTTGATTGGTACGTAATGAGAATATGTGTACCAAATGTATATTTTGTGTTATATAAGAAAATGAAGTCAATTAAGTGAATCAACAAACATGAAGATTCGCATTGATATTCTTAGATGTTCGCTTTTCCAACTAGTTTAGTAATTTATTAATGGACGTCCCATTAATCAAATTTTGTAAGGATTTTTGGACTCTTGGTGATTTGTGGTGATATCAAAATTACCCTCCCCTCCTCCACCAAACATCTCGCTTATTTTTAGTTACAAAAAAAGTAAAATTTATGATTTTCTTTGAAAATATTTTGATTTACTTTAAAAAAAATAAATAAATACACGTGATATGTTACTATACCCCTCCCTCCCCCACGGCATATTTTGTGATTTTTTTGTCAACCCCCCCTCCCCCTAAAAACCTTACATGATTAATGAAGATTCATCAATTTCACTTTGATAAAATATATATTTTCTATAATTTATATGCCAAGCAACGTACTTGTAAATTTAAAAGAGCACAATGGCTTGGATCAATGGCTTTTTGTCTTGGCAAGTTGCATAAACTTCCCGATAGTAGACTTCAATAGGAATTGAAATTTTGCTATTTAGATAGAATATTAAAAAATTGTTTCAAAAATAAAATTTTCGCTTACACTGAAAACTAGTCAAATTAATTTCTAATTGATATATTTCAAACAAACTCATATTATCTCTAATTGTATTAATTTTAGTTCATACATAAACACGTGCTTGTATGTCCTCGAATAGCGGAGACAATTATTCCAAACTTTATAATTTTTTGTAATTAAACCACTTTTCATAAGCATATAATATTTTATAATGTTCGTTAAGACCATGAACTCTGCCGCTATTCAAAGTTTCATTAAAATCATCAAAACAATTGTTTTTAACAAGTATTTACAAAGAAACAGCCCGGGAGATCTTTACCAAAAAGTAATCAAAATGATTTCCAAGTGAAATCTTTTCATATGTTTCCGAATAAGTTGTCGAAAAATTTTGTTACTTGCTAATTATAAAAAGATTTTTTTT